TACAATGGAATACTACTCAGCCACAAAGAAGACAAAATCATCCCATTTGCAACAAGATGGATGGACCTGGAGGGTATTATGTTCAGTGAAATAAGCCAGAAAGAGAAAGACAAACACTGTATGATCTCACTCATGTGGAATATAAACCAACACATGGACAGAGAAAACTGTATTATGGTTACCAGGAGCAATGGGACAAGGGGTGGGCACAAGGGGTGAAGGGAGACATGTATATGGTGCTTGACAAACAAAAATGTACGACCGCGACCAAAATTTCACACTGTTATAAACTATTAAGACATCAATAAAAAAAAACAAAAAAACTGGATTCTACCCAGAAAAACACAGAGCAGTTTCCACGTACATGAGTCATCCCACCTTCCTGTGTGGACGGGAAAAGCACAATTACATCACATATGAGAAGAGGATGCACCACGTGGGAGCGCTGGGGTGACTGGGTGTCCCATCATTGGGCACATGTCTTGGAAGGGACCACATTATGCACAAGTTCAGATGACTTCCACGATCTCTATAACCTGAGCTCAGTCCCAGGGCTGTGCAAAGAGAGACTCCAACTCCTCCTCCCAGAGGAGCATAAGGAGATACAATCAGGAGGCAACAGTGATGCAGGAAAACACAGGCAGATGGTGACCTTGAGGTTTCACCCAAAATCCTCTCAGGCCTGTAGGTAGGCTTGGGACTCACCATCCTAAGTGCCATGACTGGACATCCAGCACATTCCCTCACCATCCAAGGGCATATTATGTTTATGAAAGAGTATATACTAATGCAGGTTGTTGGCAGGTCCCCAATAATATTCAAGGAGAGAAAATTTATACCCATAAAAATTGCATCTGGCCAGAAAATGACTGGCAGGAGTAGTGTGGTCCTTGTCCCCTCAGAAGGGGAGGAACCGGCAGGGGGCGGGGAAGCTGAGAGGGGAGGGGAGGGCAGGGAGCAATGTACACACACCAGATACAGAGCAAGAGAAATGGAGACAGGGGCTGATGGTCAAAAGACTCACCACCAGTGGGATCTATAGGGACTTGACAGTCTGGGAATCAATAACCCAGGACTAATGCCACTAGAGGGAAGTCGTGCCAACTGGACAAGAAAGAGGAGCCAAAGAGCAGTCAGGCATCTAGGACTCAGCCTAACAGCTGGGTTGCAGGGTTACTCCCTGGGGGAGAGAGGAGGTCATCACAGAGAACTTCCTGCCCTTGGAGTGAAGATCAGGAGACTACAGAGCATGTCGAAGACTGAAGTTCAGGTGAGAGGACAGACGTGGACAAGTTAATCATGACTGCTTACATCACCAATGGGTTACATGTCAGTACTTTCTTGGCCATAACAGGAAAATAGAAGACAGAATATTTTATTTTATTCTTATAGCACAAAGAACTATTTGCACAACATCAAGTGACTTTTTTAATGAAACAAAGCTGTTCTTCCAGAAGAACTGAATAAATGGGAAGATTTCCCAGGGAGATGGATTAGAAAATTTATTATTGTTTAGATGGCAATGCTCTCTCAAATGGATCTAAAGAGTCAACATTATCCTTATAAAAACCCAACCACTCTTTCTGTAGAAATTGACAACCAGAACCTAAAATTCATGATAGACTAGGAGCCCAGAGTAGTCAATACAATCTTGACAAAGAAGAAAATACTTGGAGGACTCACACCTCCTGGTTTCCAAGCTCATGACTAAGCTACAGTAATCAGGACAGTGTGGTCCTGGCAGAAGGATAGACATATATTTCCAGGGAATATAATTGAGACACCATGGATAAACTCTTACTTTTATGCTCAACTGATGGTCAAAGGTGACAAGACAATTCAATAGAGGAAAGAATAGTGTTTTCGACAACTTGATATCCACATGCAAAACAATGATGTGGACTTGTACCTCACATCATGTTAAAAATTAACCCAAAATGTATCAAAGAAATAAATGTAAGATCTAAAACTATGAAACTCATAGAAGAAAACATAGGCAGTACGCTCTTTGACATTGGTCTTAGCAACATATTTTCAAGCACCATGTCTGACCGGGCAAGAGAAACAACAGAAAAAATAAATAAATGGGACTACATCAAACTAAAAAGCTTCTTCACAGCAAAGGAAACAATCAACAAAACGAAAAGACAACCTAACAATTGGGAGAAGATATTTG